TTTTTTTTTTTTTCTTATCTTTCACCTCCCCAAATAGAAACTTTTGTTGTTGTTGTTGTTGTTCCTCCGTGGTTGGTGATGGTGATTGTTGGTCAATTTTTAAAAAAGGCATCAAAACCAAGTCAATTCAATGATACTTATGCATACGTATAGTCGTTGTTCAGCTTTTTTTAGCCATTTTATTTTTGTGTAAAAAAAAAGAATTTTTTTTGTTGTTTTTATCTTCGTTTTACCTTTATCTTATATAAATTTATTTTATATCTGAAAGAAAAAAAAAATTTTTTTTTTTTTTGTAAGTTTTCGTTTTTTTTTTTCTTTTTGTGCATACATCTGTTGTCTACCACAGTGAATCATCATAGCAAAATTTCTGATAGTATCTGGAAGTTTTTTGTAATACTGATGTCCAAGCTTGCCCATACAGGTGCAACATATCAGTGCCAATTCAATCAACTATTGAAACTTTGCATTTTACTATAAAAAGTTCCCTGTTTTATCCTAAATTTTATATATTAAAATAAGCAGTTCAGCGGTAAAAAATGTCAAAAGATGAAATGTCGAAGCCTTTTCAATATTAGAAGAAAAAAAAAAAAGTTATATGCCGGCTAATCGTTTACGGTAAGGATTCCACTGAACAATTCGTTTATTGATAAAACAACCGTTTTTTTTTGGGCGTTGTTTTGCTGTTGACACTTTCTAAGAGTTTTACTGTTTGCTCTTTTGCTTTTTATATTTGCATTCTTATGACCGCATATATATAACTTATTGGTATTTCTGCTCTCTGAATAGGCTTTATGCTTAGTTCATGAGGAAACATATTCAGTTTATAACGTTAGTGCTTTTTTATTTATAAATTAGAAGAAAAAAGTTTACCTGGCTGAAATAAACAACATATTGAGTAGATTCACGAAATTTGGAAAACGACTTATAGGTTCTTGTGACAAGAATAGCATCAGAAACGTTGGCTTTAGTGGTATCCAAGGTAAATTTACAGTTCCAATCCGTGCAGCCGTTAAGATTCTCAGCAGTATGTTGGGCATCCCAAGACAAAATAATTTTTGGAGGTGCTAAAGTTTTAAAAAAAAAAA